CCCCGCGCACCTTTCGCCATGGCGGCGGCTCGAAGGGGCTGCCCGGGGCCCCCCTGGCCGCCTCCCCGCCGCGCTCCCCCGCCGCAACCAACTGCTCCGCCGAGAGACAGCGCGCTCGCCGCCACCGCCGCCCATTGGCTTATCGCGGTGCCCGTAACGCCGCCCACGCCGCTGATTGGCGCGCGGGCAAGCACTCCCGCCCTCTCCTTGACACACGGAGAGGGCGTCGCGGCTCCCGGGAACGGTGTTTAAATGTGCGTTCGCCGGCCGCTGATTGGCCCGTGCAAAGGGCAACGGGCGCGCTGATTGGTGGCGCGGGAGGGAACGCCCTGGGCCGGCAGGGCTCGCCACGTGGGTAGGGGACGGCGCGCGCTCCCGGCCCGCGGGCGCGGGAGATGTCAGATCGTGACAATAAAACACAAAGCTCTCCCCGGCACCAGCAAAGCTCGGAACAGCTTCAGCATCAAAGCCCTCCTTGCACATCGCGGTAGGGCCGCTACATATACTTCAAACTCGGGAAATGACCAAGGTGCAGGGAGCTGGGATGGCACAACGGTCAATGGGATATACGTTAGCTGAGGTCATTATGGGAATTCGGGAACTATCATGCATCACCTCTTCGGTGCTCCCTATCAAGTAAAGCTTATATTGGGCCACAACATACAATCAGTCTGTGTAATTAGCACATTTAAGGCTCAACCAGCACTAACCATAGGTGAGGCTACGGTTTCACATGGAAGTTAATGGCCCTAACGGTAATGCGAGCGGAGGTGGCCTCTCCAGAGAGGTTCATCTGGAGGCACAAGCTGCTGTTGTCTCCCAGGCATTCATACAGCTGCATGAACAGCCAGTTTGGGGAGCTGACAACTGCAAACCACCCCATTTAGAATGACCAGGACAGAATAAAAACAGTCAAGGTCAGGAGGAATAGAAATGCCCGTGAAGGATGGCCTGATTCCCCACTGACTGCCCCTCAGGCAGTGAGGATGTAGGTGATGTGTTCCCAGTGCTATTGGGAATGCAGTAGCATAGTAGGGCAAATAGATTCCTTGAGAAAATATTTTAAAAAATCTACCTCCTCACTATCATTTCTTATGTCTGCGTCTTCATTAACAAGGCACGTGCTTTTCACAGAAAGACAACCCAAATGCATTTAGCATCCACCAGGGTTTGGCGTAAAACTCAAGCGTGCAGCCAGCTGACACCAGTCGTGACTAAGTCCCTGAACTCAGTTGTGACTAAGTCCCTGAACTCAGTTGTGACTAAGTCCATGAACTCTATTAAGGTGGGTGAATCAAACCCTCCAGACCAGCACTGGAGCCCACAGCATGCAGCTGGACTGCTCTTGCTACCTGACCCAGATTCATGCTGTTCTTTTAACATAGTTAAGATAACACACACAATTCACCCTGGGAAAGAAAATCTTCACAAATTATTATTTCCTCTCTGCAGCAATTGAGAATGACTCTTCCAATGTCCCGGGAATGCTCTGGGAATATCTCTGCTGGGGTTCTGCTCAGTTCTTTTTTGGCTTGAAGAGAGTCAACATGCGTAAAATAAACAGCACAAAGCCTATGTATATGAGCAGGGAGCCACTAGAGGGCAAAGTTCGCTTAATAATTGTCATTACTAGAGCAACAAAGAAAACTGTCATCTTTAACCAGCCTCAGCTATCGGCATGCTGCGGTCACAGCATGAATTAACAAAATGAGCTGGGTCTCCCAGCACAAGCTCTCGGAGGGAGCTCTGCCTGAGCAGCCGGAGCAGGGAGACGTTGGGATGTTCCCACACACTGGCCCGGAGCAAACGCGGAGGCGCCTGCGGCAGCTGCCACCCATCACCATCACCGTCACCATGACTCAGGCTGGGCTCAGGCCCACGGAAGCTGCTGGGCTCAAGGGGAGCAATGTGACTCCCACCAGCGCCAGCCACAAAACCCAGTGACCTAAATATCAGCTCCCGGAGCACCGCAAAAGCTCCGTCCCTCGGAGCACTCGCGCACTGAAGCTGGAAAGTGGCTTGTGGGGGAAGGGGGGGGGGAAATAAAGAACAAGGCACCAAATTTGCACAGAAGGAAAGGAAATCTTCAGGGTCAATCTCTGGTTCTAAATCTTTGCCCAGATAAAAAACAAATCTGATTCTTAAAGACTATTTGCATTTGGATTCAAAAGTTCAGCTTCTTCACAACATATTGCACGTGTCATATTTTCAGTGAAAAAAAAACCCACAAAACCTATAAAAAGTATTCCATTGAAAATAAATGCTGATAACACATTTGTTTCCACCACTATAACTCTCCATTAGACAGCAAGTAAAAATGGTACCCCACAGGTAACTTCTGAAGCTAAAATTAATGTATTATCTTACAAAATTACAGAGAAATAAATTATAGAGAAATAAAATAGCATATATACCTAAGTTTACAAGATTATAACATATAAATATGATTACAATCACACTGGTATCCACAGATGGTAAAAGGAGCATCTCTGACCAAACACAGTATTTAGTGAGATAGAGATGCAACAGTCCTGTAAAAGACTGTCCTGTGAATAATTCTGTATTTATTAATTTTATATAAGTAAGAAGCACCATTGCCATTGATGGGACTACTCACCTCTCCCAGTCAAAGACAACCATGACTTTTGCTTGTAGGCCTGACAGGTAACTTGTCCGTTCAATTCCAGACACTGGAAATGCCATTTTCCTGCAATGATTGTAAGTATCTACATAGATGCACTTCATGTCAGATCTGTTGCACTGGAATTGTACTTCACCGGGCTTTTATTTGAAGTACTTAGAAGTCAACAGTCAGGTTGTAGCTGCCATTGGAACTGTTCTCATCTCTGACTGAACTGTTATCCTTTTTTTTTCTTTTTTACATTTAATGTCTGAAGCATCGCTGATGAATCTGAGATAAATCAATCTAAGTAACATTTTCCCATCTTTAAATAGGTTAGTCGATACTTGATTAATTTTTTAACGTGTTATTTTAATCCTTGTTGAATTTGTATATTGAGAGTGCCTCTGAATATTTCAAATGCATTTCATGAGACTGTCCACACATCGTTATTTGGGCTGGATGCTTTATATGTATATTAAAGTCATTTTTTAAAAAAAATGTATTCTTACACAATCAGGAAAACATATCGTTATTGTCAGTTTAAGGGCCTGAGCGATCAAGATCCCTCTGCGCATGTAAGACTGGCCTAAGTAGCCATCTGATTTTCAAGCTTGGTTAGTTCTTTGCAGCAGAACATTTCACAGAAGCAGCCTGTAAACAAATTTAAAGGGAAAACCAATGTGCCAGGGTGAGGCAGTGCCGGGCTGGGCACCAGGCATGGCCCTCAGCATGGCGCCTGCGTCCCGCTTCCTTCTCCTCGGAGACTCAGGGAAGCTCCCGTGAGGGAAACACCGACAAGAGCCGCGGGACTGAGGAACGGGCGGCCCGAACAAGGCACACAAGGCCCCACCGCACGTTTCACACAGGGCCGTATCCAGAGCCCAGCTCCACAGGACGGCTGACACGGACGGTACGTAACCCACGCAGCAGCCTGCAGAGAGGAGCGTTCCCTGACGAGAACACAGGCAGGGCAAGGCGGGAACCGCCACATTCCTCCCCAGGCCGGCGGCCCAGGAGGCGGCCGGGGCCCAACGGCGGGCGGCGCCCCTTGGCGCTGACAGGGCACCAGTAGCGCGCATGCGCAACGCCCCCCCCCCGCCCGCCTCGAGAACGCGCATGCGCACCGCTCCCCCGGCCTCGAGAACGCGCATGAGCAACGCTCCTCCCCCGCCCCCAGAACGCGCATGCGCAGCGCTCCTCCCCCTGCCGAGAACGCGCATGCGCAGAGCTTCCCCCCGCGCGTCACGGCCGTCTCAGGTCCCCTTTTTCCTGCCCCACCGGCCCCCATGATGCCCCGCAGCAAGCAGATCTCGCGAGAGTGCCGCGCCTCGCACTCGCGGCAGCCGCCATCTTAGGGGAGCCTGGGATCACGTGACCGCTTGCAGCGGTTCGCCTCCGTGCTCCCCTCCCCCACCCACCCGCCCACCGGGAACCGGGCTCGGACCGCCATGCTCGGCTGCGGCCGCCGCCGCGGGGCGGGCCTGGCGCGCGGGCACGGCGCGGCGGGAGGACGCTTGGGAGCCGCCCCCGGCGGCTTCTTGCGGAGCTCCCTCCCTCTGCCCTGCCGCGGGGGCAGGAGGGGGGCAGCGGAGCGGCAAGTCACGTGGCGGCGGAGGGAGAGGGGAGGGGGAAGAAGCGTTCGGTAACGAGCACCGGCGGTAGAGGGGGGAGGGGCGCGAGAGCGGCGGGGCACGTGACGCAAGGCGGGCGCGCGCGCGGGGGAGACGGGTGCGCGCGTGGTCACGTGTCGCGAGGCGCGCGCCAGCGGCGGGCGGTGGTTGGCGTCACGTGGGGGTGGGCGAGGTCACGTGGCGCAGCGCGGTGGCTGGGCCCGGCCCCCTGCCCCCCTCCCGTTCTCCCCTCCCCCCTCCCCTGTGAGAGGGGAGGGAGGGCAAAGATGGCGGCGGTGAGTTAGAAAGCGGCGGGCGGCGGGGCCGGTGGCGGAGACTTTCCGGAGCGGCCGCGGCGGGATCGAGCGCCAGAGAGAGTGAGTCCCGCTCCGCTCGCGGGCCTTGCCGCCGCCGTGCGGCGGGCCCCGCGCGGCCGCGGCTGCCCCGGGGGGTCCCTTCCCTCAGCGCCGCGCACCGGGCGGCGGCCTCGCGCCGCGGGTGGAAGCGGCGGGGCGGCCGGCACGGAGCTCCCCGCCGGGCGGGGGCACCGGGCGCGGGTCCCCGCTGGGCCGGAGCGGCGCGCGCGGGGGAGGGCGCCGCCGCCTCGGCGGAGCCGCCGCCGCTCGCGCAAACTTTGCGCCCGCGGCGCTGCGGGGGCGGCGGGGCCGCCGCGCGAACCCTTCCGCCCGCGCCGCGGGGAAGCGCCGCTAACGGCTGACGAAACCGGCGGCGCCGCGGCGGGGGGCCCGCCGACCGACCGCCCCCATCCTCCTCCTCCCCGGCAAAATGGCACCGGGGCCGCGGCGCCGTCCCCGCCGCTCCCCTTTGTGCCGCGGGCGGCCCTGCGCCTTGCCCGGGGCCGCGGCCCTTGGCCCTCCCGCGGCCCCCAATGCGCTTCAAGGGCCCCTAAATCCGCGGGGGGCCGAAAACAAAAGTGGCGCTTGGGACACGGTTCCGCAGCCGCTGCAGCCCCAACCCGGAAGTTTATGTGCGCGGCACGTGCTGCGGGGGGCCCGCGGGCAGCCCCGGCCCCGCGCCCGGCCCGAGGCCGCCCCGGTGAGTGGCCGAGCGGGGAGAGGCCGCGCGGGGCGGGGGGAGCGGGGGGGGGGGGCTCTGCCTTATTTAACTTGTCTCGTTCGTGTTGGGAACTGACCGCATCCCACGCTCCCTTTGAGGGGGTGTAAATGACCACTCCTGTGGTGTGTTTAAAGGTATTTGCAGCCTAATTTCAAGGTACTTGCAGCAACACCTTCTCTGTTCGTGTTTAAATGTGTCTGGTACCAGAGTAATAGTTTAAACACTTATTTTTTAAGTCTGATTTGCTGGGTCATAAGACATAATTTAGTCTTATGTCGTTTGTTCATGCTAATAACTTCACTTTTGTTTCACTCGCTCTGTGGTTAAGAATTAACCCGGTGATAGATTGTTTGGCTTTAAAGTACATAGGTTGTATCTGGATTAAAAATGATTTGAGTGAACCTACGTGGTTGTCTTGCAAGCCTTCCCACAAATGAAAACTGTGATTTTTTTTTATACAAAGCAAATAATGTACTATGGTAAAAGTTGTGTGGCAGTATGGCTTTCAGGTTGCTTTTCTATGTCTTGTTTACTGCCCTGTTTTGCTATATTTGCACAATCTTGATCTTTAAAAATAACATTTGAGGATTTTGCCATGTTCGAACAAGTCCTTTGGTGTCAGGACTGGTTGGCAGCTACTTAAAGACTATTGAAGTAGGTAGCAGATGTGGTTGATGAGTTTCTTTGGCTCTGAGGTGCAACCAGAACTAAGTCCAAGACCAGTGTTGAGGAATGTATACATGTGCATATATACAGAAAAGAATATTTTGTCTTTTGAGATACTCCTTACTGTTATTCTGTCTTGGGAGTCTTTACTTTTTAACGAATGCTTGCTGCTAGCTAATAAGTCAGCAGCAACACCAGCCTTGCAGTCTAAAAACTTTCCAAGCTAAGTCATCACGTCATCTAGCCTGTTAGCATTTTAAAACTCCTAAATGTCACATTTCTAGACTGTGCATCCTGATTACTATAACTTTCATAGAACAGTCATACTGCAGCTTTAAGCTGGAGTTGAAACCCGTACTGTCCTAAGCTGTACTTCATGTGACCTTACTAGCTCTCTTTAGAGAGACAAGCAGTGTTTAAAAACTGTTGTCATTTTTACAGGATTGGAGTAGTTCTTCACAAAAGTCAACCCTCCAACTGTGTACGTTTAAATGGAATATTAACATCTGCTCTTAAAGCATATAAGAATGGTGAAGTTCGATAATTAGCCTTTAACTACTTGTTTGGATGGTCGTTTGGAAAGCACCAGCAGGGATTGGGTGGTTTTTGTTTGTTTACTGTTACTGGGGTTGCCTTTCACAGCCAAAAGCTTTGAAATGAGGAGAGCCCGCCTGGATATTCAGAGATCTCTTGTGGGTTTGTGAGCTCGCTGTTGTTTCATTTCTGTTGTGAGGGGCTGCATGCTGGATTGTGAAATATTAATTTTGATAATAGTGCACAATCGTATAGTTCAAGTGATCTGTGTTCCTCCAAAAACCAACGGGAAAAGCCCGTGTATTAAAAGAACGACAAAATTTGCTTAACTGTGTTGTCTCAGGCCAGGCATTAAAAGTGAAGCTTGCAGATGGGTCCTGCTAAAGACACTGGTTCTCTGGTGGTCTTGGCAGTATCTGCACTAGGCTTAGTGCGATGCTTGGTTTGGTCTAAGCTGCACTATCGGTTTGCTGCAATTTATAAATAAGTGCTTCAGGTGTGCGGTGCTATAACGTGCTGAGAGATGCTGAAATTGAAAGCCTGGCTATGAGTTAGGATTCTAGCGGTATGTTTCTTGGGAGAAAATAGGGTGGAGAGCAGGCTGCTTAAACAGGTGTTTTTTGGTTATCTTTTTCTTTTTTTTTTCTTCTTTTACCCCTTTCTCCTTTTCACTAGAACTAAAATGGAGGTTGGGGGGAGAAAAGAATGAGCCAGGTTGGCATGGATACATGTCATAATATTAAGCATGCATTCTGGTCTTGTTTCTTTAAATCGACAATTGCTTAACTAATGCATGGAAGTATGAAACTGTCTTTTTAGCAAACTCATTATTCTTTTGCAGTGTGCTACCTTACAAAAATGCTTAGTAAGTTATGATAGCCACTTTTAAAGATGGCAGCAGGTTGTGCTATTTTTCTTCATTAAAACAAAGAAAATAATTGGTGCACAATTACTGCTGAAATTAATTTTTAAAAAACTAAAACTAAACTAAAAATATTTATTTATAAAACAGGTTCATTCTTGCTCAGCGACATTGGGCAGCCTGACTAAACATAGGCAACCTTGTCTGCAAGATTCTGCATGCTTGGAACAGTTCTTCCATTGGTTAAATGCTTAGAGAACAGCTTGTAATATTCACAACTTTTTCTTGTATATAAGTAATTTCTTTTGAGTTTTTTAAGATGTGGCCAGCAGGTCCTTATATAGTATTGCCAAAGCTGCACTGCAGAGCCTGATAAAGTTGCTTTTGCTTGTGTTAACTAAGAAGCCTCCTACCTTGTAAGATTATGGAACTGTTTTGGGTTGATAACGTTTTAGACTTGACTAGCATATGTCACAAAACCCAAATTAAGCTATCAAGATGCAGCTTCTCTTCTAATGTTTCATATTTAATTTCCTTGTTTAAGTGAGCTAGGTAAGGGAGGGGAGAAGAAAAGCACTTTATTTTTGAAGCTTCATGAAAACCCCAAATTGATGCAAGTATTAATTTTAATGTAAAACTCCTAGAATTTCAGAATTCCCCTTTTTCTCTTTTGAAACAATGCAGCTTTGTCCTAGTGTATAGAAACAAAATGAGTGACACTAATCTAACTTTCATTGTCCAGACTGAGTGACAGACAAGTGAACAGTTGTTTTTAGCTTTTGGGGGGGGGGGGTGAGAGGGCAACCGTTTATTTTTAAGACTTTTAAAACTTGGGGTTAGAAACTCCAGCTAAATCCCTGTAGTGTTATGTAAAGACAGCTTTGCTAAGAGACAGATGACTTAAAATTGAATATACTTATTCTGGAAGAGTAGGAATTCCTATTTTAGTTTTTATCTTCTAATCAAATGCAAACTTCAAGCAGTTAAGAAACAAAATATTCCTTGCAGAAATGCTTTTAAGTCAGTGAGTCTGTGCTTAAGACATCTAAGCCATCATGTTTTTAAAGGTTAAAGAGAGAGAGTTTAAGGTAGTCCTGTGTATGTTAAACTTGACTTCAAACAGACTTCATAGCTTTTGGCATGATTTTGTGATGTTTGGGGAAGATAAGGACTTTTTCTAATCTCGATTTTGCTTTGAGTCTCAATTTCATAGAAGGTTCTTCTTGCATTACTGAAGTAGACGAGAAATTATCTTGACTATCTCTTTCTCTTTTTTTGTCCTAGTTCTGTATTAAACAAACAGCCCTAACTTCTGACTTTCCTCGCCTCTAATGAGTGTAGCCTCTTATCTTGAGTTCTAGTCCTACCTCGTTTTAGAGATGATTTGACCAAAACTGTGCGAGTAGACTAAATAATGGCATAACTGGCATTCTCTTTTCCCCTGTACATTTAAACATTTTTATTTCACTGTGTTGCAGAGGTGTTTGCTCTATGTAGAACAGTGCCTATTTTTTTTTTCTAGCTCAATACTGCGAAGTTACCATTGCAGAGAACCCCCAGTCTGAGAGGATTAACTAATGTCAACTCCCCCTCTGTGCAGAGTTTCACTTACAATGATTGCTCTGAGATTCCCAACAATAAAATTTTGAATCGAAGTTTATCTACAGACGTAATTTTTCTTCTCATGTCATTTTCTAATTATTAAAGTGGCATAAGTGTCTAAATTATGTATGATGGTCACTGTCAATATTTTGATGTAATAATGAAATTATTTCGTGTATTTATGTCAACTACATAGATGTTTATTGTCGATGTCATATTGCCCTCTTTTTGAGAATGGAGGCTCAACCCCACTGAAAAATGTGGTAGTCTGTTCTCGTGTCCATCTTTAAGGATCCATTCAGGATCCTTAAATAGGCAGACTGATAGGAAGTGATAGCCTTTGAAATGGCAGCTATGTTAATTAATTCTGTAAGGCACATTTATGTTTCTTAATTACTTCTGTACCTGATGAAATGGTTGAAGGCCCTATTGGTTTGTAGTTGATCTGATCGCCTTGGGTGTCCTCTTATTTATTTTTAAGCACGGCTGGTTCTGACACAGCAGTTCCCTTCATTGCTGTTTGTTGCATCAGTGTTCTGTGTATGTGCAGTCTCTGTTCACACTTAAAAATAATCTTCACTTGGTCCCATAACCTTACGGCAGCTATTTCAGTTGTGGTGTCACCATGTCAATATTAATCTCCTAAAAGAAACTCTCCATTATTGGACAGATAACATTAGGAGGAATAAGAATGAAGTGTCAGGTGCTTTATTGTAATAATTACTTGTTTTGCTAAATGTAAGATGTTTTACCACCCAGCTGTATGTTGTTTAGCTGTGAAAATAGGGAAGTAGTTGAACGTTGTTTCGGAGTTGATGAATAGATGCATCTGCTGTGGGAAAAATAGGTGTCTGACTTGGAATAGATGTTAATTTTGAAGTCTAGATTTCTTGTTGCCAGTAGATAGTATAGGGAGGTTGGTAAACAGGAAAAGAAATTTTCTTGTAAAGGTGAATTTTAGACTGCAAGGACAACAGCTGAAGTGATACAGACTTGCATTTAACACTTTTTTTTTTTTCTTCCCCTCTCCGTAGTACTATGTCAAATTACTTTCCCTGCTGGGAGAATGGACCATATACTATGTTTTAGTATGGAAGAGGAAATAGTATTATCTTTTTAAATACATGATAGTAATATTTTATGTATAGTAAGCTATTTCATTCTTTCTGCCCCTTTAGCCTAGATGTAATGAGAGAATTTAAAAAAAAAAAAAAAAAAAAAAAAAAAGAAAAGAAAAATCTGCAAATTGACAAAAGATCCAGGACAAGTCTAGACAGTGAAACTACCTGTATAAATGATTGCTTTGTAATGCTGTTGAATTCAGGAAAGGGGACCACAAATGTGAGTGTGTGCGCATGTGTGCGCGCCAAATAAGCCAAAACTCAATGTAACTTTTATTTATGGTCTAATTTTTTTAGAGATGGTGGAGCCAGGACAAGATCTGTTGCTTGCTGCTTTGAGTGAGAGTGGAATCAGTCCAAATGATCTATTTGATATTGATTCTCCAGACGTGGTTCTTGCAACTCCAGCACCAGCTCCAGCTGTTCAGCAGGTTAAAACATAACTGTTACTATTCAAACTTAGGAGCTTATACTTGTTATATGAGGGGAGGTCCTCAGTAAATGCATCAAAAATGTTGTATTTTGTTTTCCATTCTTCCTAGTACTGGGATTAGACGATGATTTGGTAGGGTTTTTCTATTAAAAAGTTTTTTATAAGTTAAAACTAACTAAACTTTTTATATAAAAAAATAAAGTAACCTAAAGCACACTTTTTAATATAAGCATATGCTGTCATGTATCCGTACAGGCTCTAATATCATTGAGGTCTAGCTTCTTTTCTATAAAATAAACAAAGTCATTTCACTTGATGTATAATCTCTGTGGCAGCATTCAATCTGTGAGAATGTCAAACTGTTTCAAATGTAGACAGGAACAACAGAATGTCGAACAGTGACATCACAAGTTACACTTTCACCGTTCAACTGTTGTAAAACTTCTTTGAATGTGAAACCAGTCAGTTGATGATCTCTTTTCAGTGAAACCTCTGTTAATGAGCACAACTAAACTTCACTATGTCCTTTTTGTAGGTGGATATTTAGACTTTTAACCTACTGAAGAGTGCCTGATGATGCTTATTTTTTTTTTCTTCTGCAGTCAGTGCCACTTAGTGCATTAGAACTAGGCTTGGAAACTGAGGCCACAGCTGGCGTGAAACAAGAACCAGAGACTGTGTCAACTCCAGCCTTATTAAATGTTCGGGTAAGAACTGACACTGCAGGACTCTATATGGGTACATGTTAACAAAATGTAGCAAAGGAGAAAGGACGGTAAAATGCTGATTGTTGCCATCATCTCAATACTACTTAAAGTTAGAGCCCTGAAAGCTTAGCAAACTCATGGGTAGATGTGATTTGTGTGGCAGAGCTCAAGGAACACACAGAAAATATTTAGAAGGGTCTAGTGTGCCTTCTGTTTTCCCTGCAGGCGTATTCTGGGAATGTGAAAGCTATGTGAACTTGCATCCTATGTGCTAACTTTGTACCACCTTTTATAGCTGCAGAGAATTCTGAATACTACTATGGTGGTGCTCGAGCAGGGATGTTGGGCTGGAGTAGAGCCAAAGTCCCTCCAGCCTCAACCATTTTGTGATAGTTACAATCAAAATGAGAATGAGGAGTAGATCTGCAGTAAGGTGGTTGTAGCGAGGAATGTCTGAAAAAGGAGGTTCATACATGCTTTGAGTAATCTGAGTTATTTTCCCTGACAGTTCTGCAGCTGTTTTGTATGTATGAAATTCTGTACAGGTTAGGATTTCCATAGAACAATAGTTTTGTGTTTAGGTGATGAATCCGTCATCCTACTTTTTATTTCCTCCTTCTTACCTCAGAAGAAGATTGCACAAAAATACATGTAGCAGGATGTCAATGCAAGCTTTGAAAGACCCTTCTGCCCCAAAGTTGGACTAAAAGATAATTTTTAGCACCTTCAATGACATGTGAAGACAATTATTATTACAGGTCTCTTAAGCTGATGACTCCTAGTTGAATGGCAAATAAAAGCTTTTTAGTACTGTCTAAAAATTCCAGTTCTTATGAAATTTTGTTTTGTTTTCTAGCAACCACCATCTACCACAACCTTTGTGCTGAATCAAATAAATCAGCTTCCAACTTTGGGGACTACTATAGTGATGACAAAAACCACACCTGTTACAACTACAAGGCAGACTATCACTGTAGCAAAAATCATCCAGACCAGCACAACAACTCGACCCTCTGTTGCAGCACCAGCAGTACGCAATGCCTTGACCACTGCACCTTCCAAGGACCAGATTCAGCTAAAAGATCTGCTAAAGAACAATAGTCTTAATGAACTAATGAAATTGAAGCCACCTCCTAATATTGCCCAGCCAGTAGCAACAGCAGCAAGTGAGCTTTCTTACATTCTTTGCAGTACACAAGGTTTCAGGCAAAAGCTGAGAGTTTCTTCTGAAGTTCTTTGCAGGTCTTGAATATTAAGAGTCATGGTGAAGTGATACAATATAACACATTTTGAAAAGGCTTTTGAAACTGAAGCTTTTGAAATTGGTGAAATTACTGAAGTAACAGCACTTAAGTTTACGATAAGTTATCTTATTCTATTCTACTGCATAAAATTCCACACACACCCACACCTCACCCCATATAATCTGTCAAACTGATTTTTTTTTTTTTTTGGGTGCATGTCAGTATTATATCATGGTGAATAGCTTTTTTTTGTTTTTTTCCCCCTTCCTCTGGAAGGAAGCTAGAAAACCCCTATCTATTTCATGGGCAACATCATAACTGTTTTCTTACACTTCAGAGTCTAAAAATTTGCTTCTTTGTTAATGCTTAAAGATGGTATTAATTTAAATCCTACAAATACTTTGTTACTGCACTTCAGATCTTTACTTTGTAATACCTTTTTTTATCTTTTCTTATTTTTTTGTGTATGTATGTATCAATTGCTTAATATCAGAGAAAATCTGCATGTTTTCTTGTTAAATTATCATTTGTTCAGGAAGCTTTGTAAAAACAAATGCCAATTCTTGTCTCTTCTCTGCTATTCTGACATAGCAGAGTAGTAATACCAGACTAGTTGAGCCTGAAAACAATAGAAATGTTTTTTTTCTGAAAGGCGTGCAGACTTCTTAGGAATTCATTTTCATTGTTGCTCAGATAAAACTTACTTGTTTTATAGGTAGGGTAGGAGATAAACTGTTTTGTGTCATATGCAGATAAACTACACAAAATGAGGCTGTCCATTAGGACAGAAAGAAAACAAATCCTCATTGTTTCATGGCTTTTGGTTTGAGAGTGGTTGACAAATATGGAAGTTGAAATGTTCACTAAAGCGGAGGAGTGAAGTAGAGAGGGAGAGCTAGGAGAAGCTTATAGAACTTCCAGCTTACCCCTTTGTGTTAACTGAAGACTGGCAAGAGCACCTGAGCATGGAGATAATCACCAAGATCTAGTAACTATTATAGTGGCACAAATACAGAAATTAGTTGAATGATAGTTTGTATTAAGTGTGTGTAGTGGGGGAAATGCAGCCTCTAGAACTGCATTTCTGGTCTTATTTGTACACCTGTGTTTCTGGTTTTCTTGTCATCCTTAAAGGCCTTGACAAATACTTGCTGAAATCTCAAGGCAGAAGAGGTTATGGAAGGAAACATGGCTTGATTAAAAACTTGCACATAGCAATTATAATTTTAAAAATATTAATTTGTGACCTCTTTTAAGCAGTCTTGTGCAAGTGTCCTAATTGGATTTAGGATCAATTTTGTTGTTTAATATATGCACTTCCAACCTCATGGAGGCTTGAGAGCCCTTTTCAATATCTCGCATTTCTGCAAGGGCACATGTATCTTAATTCGGTACAAAGTCCTGTTGCCACTTGCTCCAAGATCTGGCTGAGGACAGGAAGCTTAAATTTCACATAGAATCCCTATGTAGATTCTAAAAACAATTGAGTTCAAAATTATGATTTTATTTTTTTTACAGAAGTAATTGTAGTTTCTCCAAAGGTGGTAAATGCCACCGGAACAGGTAAGTTAATTTCTTTTGAAACATCAGAGTTTCTGGTTTGTTAAACTCAAAAACTCACAATCTGAACTGTTTCTAAGTAGGATGTATCGATTTGGTGGTGGCTTTTTTTATCTCTTTGCTTTCTCAGAGGTGTTTTTTTGATTTTTTGATAAATATATTTTTTGATAAATATATTGATAGTATTCTTGAAGTACTGAGTAATCTACTCAATGTCCTAAAAACCCTCTTCCAGTTCATTAATGGAGAAGGTTGTTAATTTAAGGTTTTTTCAAGGGAATTTCTGTGTAATGCAACTTTTCTTTTTATAGCTGATCTAAGCAATGGTGCAGTAAAGAAAGAGGCTTCCACAAAAGAGGTTGCAAGAATATGGATAAATGACATTAAAATGAGAAGTTTCTCACCTACTATGGTAAGAAGTACAAATGATTAATTTACTAGAAATGCATTATGTTCTTATCTATGTTGCTGCAGACTTGGCTAATAACTATTGGATTTCAGAAAATATGACTTATAACTATAGTGACTGTTCTGACTATTTGACTAAGCTGAGAAGTTACTAGTTACTTAAGGAATGAGAAACTGCTGCAGATTTCATGGGTGTACTTGAAGGGGGGCTTGTAGGTGTTAGCCAACTGTCATTGGATTCTTGTAAAAGAGATGAAGTTTGCTGACTTTTTTGTGATTCTCATGGGGTTGGGTGGAATTTTGTCTTTGAAAACTGTTCAAAACCTAAGAGAATTATGCTTCCTTTTGTAGTCTTTCCCTGCTGCTCACTGGTTCAACCAGTGTGCGTGCTAAAATATTCAAATTCATGCTCCTTTTGTTTCCCTGATTAGTTTCTGGAATATGGAGTATTACCAAGATGCTGTTTGACTAATGCAGGTATTTGTATTTTAGAAAGTGCCAGCAGTAAAAGAGGAAGAGGAACCTGAGGAAGAAGATGAAGAAGAAATGGGCCATGCAGAAACTTATGCTGAGTATATGCCAATAAAATGTATGACATAGGTGTTTTTTTAATATCATAAAACTAAAATACTTTTGGCAGCTGAATAGTAACAGAAGAGTAAATAACATATGTGCCAAAAATACTATAATATCTGAAGCAAATAAAAAGAACCTGAATCTGTGGTCTTGTTTTTGGTTGCTTTTGTTCATGTTTGGGTTTTTTGTCTACCGTTTTTTCCTCTACAACACTTAGTCAGTTTTGAAAGCCACACCTAAATAATCCTAGCCCAGTGATGGACAGATCTGTGGATAGAAACTGTTTGTTTCTAAAATGTGAAGAACATTCTAAAAGTGATGAACAAAAATTAAGCTTTTAACCTAAGCTAAAACATTTTGTAAGAATTATATTATGTAAAGGGATTAGGTGGTCACTCCTGCACTTAAGAATCCATTTTGAGTCTTCTAGTGTGAAAATGCCCTAAGCACATTCTTCCTACACTGTTCCTAAGTTATAGTTTAGATTTGTAAAACAAGTCTGACTGGGTGAATCTTCCAACTGTTAATTGCCATCTGCCCTTTTTTTTTCTCCTCTCCTCTCTTCTTATCATAATGACAAAAAAAAGCTAGGAGGCCTTATTTCATAGTTACGTAGTTGATACTACTGCAAAGGCAAAGCAAGAACACTATTTTGTCTGTTTGTAGCTAAGTGGTTAATTTTTCTTGTCACAGATGAGATCTGTCAGCAATTAGAGCATGTCTGTTCTAAATCTTTCCTCCTCTCATATTGCTCAAAACCAACACTATATAAATAGTGAGAAAAATGCTGCTTTTGTGATCCTGGAATCTTGAGGCCTGTGGTGTTTGGGGCATACAAAGTTCAGAGCAATTTCTCTCAAGCATACAAAATACATAAAGATGTTCCATTTCTCTGAAATGGAAGGAGACGGGGGAAGGGTCAGGAGAAGAGAAAAAGTGAAATTTTGCAATTACATAAATTCAGACCAAGTTTCTTCGTATGTGATGCAGTTTCTTTGACACTCAGTTTTTGAAGTTTTATCATTACTGTGAAATGTGGTTGTTTTCGAGTTTAGTTTTGGCAGTGGACAACTGTAATTTGCTTTGGTAAATATATTAACCTGTGTTATAACAACAAGAACTCTTCTTTATGATAGTCCCATCTTCTCCTTTTTTCCTCCTTCCCAAACAGTAAAAATCGGTCTTCGTCATCCTGATCCAGTAGTGGAAACCAGCTCATTATCCAGCGTAACTCCTCCTGATGTGTGGTACCAGACATCAATATCAGAAGAAACAATTGATAGTGGCTGGCTATCAGCTTTGCAACTTGAAGCAATCACTTATGCAGCTCAGGTATGCTAGGCATTAGTAGACCTTAAAAAAATATAAAATTTTAGAGGAAAAAATGCTATCTGAAGGTGCGTGCCTATTTTATAGAGAATAAAAATAAATGTAGGAAAGCCTGAATCTTGTAAAAAGGTGGTAAGTTTTGGTGTAGATGAATGTGAGCTAGTGTATATTGGGAAGAATAGTATAAGTGTTTTATGCAATATTGATTTCAAACTATCATAAGATTCGGGGAAAGCAATCTTGAGTCCTTGTTTTTATTTCTCTGAAATAACTACAGATGCTGCTTTAGCAGCAGCCCGAAAAGCTGAGGCTGTTAGGTGTCACTAGGAATGGAAATTGAGAACAAAACTGAGTGTTGTTTTACTGCTGTACAGGATCCTTGGTGGTCCCACATCTGGTGTTTTGTGTGTGGTTCTAGTTCCTGCATTTCAGGGAGGAAGGTATCCTAACTAGGACCACTAAAATAATCATAGAAGGAAGTTGTCTCAGTGAGAGAGTTTAAAACGTCTCTACCTTATTGGGTTGAGATGAGGGAAAAATAGAGGGGGATAGCATGAAAGACTTATACCTTCTTCAGTAAAGTGTCAGAAGATGGAAATGCTCACCAAATTGTAGGGGAGGGTGAAAAGAAGGCGAAGGGGAGCTGGATGGAACTGGGAGCAGTTTGACTCAAAACTATAAAAGAATATTTCTTTGTACATAAGATAGCTAATGTGCAGAGCTTGCTGTCCCAAAAGGCTATGGAAACATGGATGCGTGGGTTCAAAAGAACAGTTGGAAAAACTCATGGACAGCAGGTCCGTTCATGGACACTAAAAGAACTAGATGGGGATATATTTTCTACAGCAGTTTTGGATATTGAAGTGTGAGAGGAATGGGCCATATGTGGTCAGTTCAAGTGATCTCCCTAAATTATAGCTTCTGTATGCTGTTAAAGACAATATTTGGCTAAGTGAACAACTGGGCTTATCTAGTAAGATGTCACACGTTTGTTCGTTTTGATAATCCATATCTGTTTTAATAATCCATTTGTTCTTGTGAACAAATCCAAGCTTTTTTTTCTCCTACAGCAACATGAAACATTCCTGCCTAATGGAGACAGAGCTGGATTCTTGATAGGTGATGGCGCTGGTGTAGGAAAAGGACGGACCATAGCTGGAATAATCTATGAAAATTACTTGTTAGGCAGAAAAAGAGCAGTCTGGTAAGTGTGTCAGGATTTGTTAGAGCAAATGGTATAGCGACTATAGTATTTAAATTCAGTGTAATCTGTCTTCAGACAAATGTTCTAAATACCTGCTTTTTAAACTTTTGCTGTAACTTGGAGTGTATGTTTTTGTTCTGTATCTTCAGGTTTAGCGTGTCAAACGATCTGAAATATGATGCTGAAAGAGACTTGAGAGATATTGGAGCAAAAAACATTTTGGTTCATTCACTAAACAAGGTGTGGAAACTTTTTACTATGTACGGTTGAGGCAAAACTTTAGGTACGCTTCGGTGACAAGTTGTGCATGCTAACTGTGTTAAGAGCAATACTGTTCTAATTTTAATAAACTTGCTGTCTAGATCTTGTTTGATAGGCATTAGTCTTGGAAAACGTTTTTTATACTAGTCTTCAAGTCAATACTGACTCTACTGAGTAGAATATTTTACAGAAATTGAGATACATCTTAAATCTAGATTTTGACTTTTTTTAATCCTACCATCCACAGTGCTCATTTTATGTGCACTTACCCATTAATATAAAATGCAGAAAGAATACAATTTAAATCACATCTAAACTTAAAGTTCATTTTAAAGTTAGTCGTCTTTCTCTTTGAAATTAAAATTTCACCAGTCTTGAAACTGTCACTTACTTTGACAACTAAGTGATGCATTGAAATCAGATCTACCTAGGGATCTGGGGAGGGTTAAAGAAAACAACCTCAAGACTGAGATCACCAGCATGCCTTAATCCTATGGTGGGTAGATCTGAGGAGGGATCTATTTTGAATAACTTCTGTGACTTTCTTGTCTTTTTTTTAGTTCAAATATGGAAAGATTTCTTCAAAGCATAACGGGAGTGTGAAGAAGGGTGTCATTTTTGCCACCTATTCTTCTCTTATTGGTGAAAGTCAATCTGGTGGTAAATACAAAACCAGATTAAAGCAACTTCTTCATTGGTGTGGTGAAGACTTTGATGGAGTTGTATCCTTTATCTTGAGTTCAGCTGATTGTAGTTGAATTGTTATTTAAATTTACATTTTGAAAGATAGTCTTTGTGTTTTGCTGTTATTTTTATGCATCATTTATGGCAGTAATAGATTGTGTGTGTGCTCTGGCACTAGCAATTACCTTTAAAAAGTTGTTTTCCTTAATTAAGGCTCAGATTGTATTTGATGAGTGTCATAAAGCTAAGAATTTGTGTCCTGTTGGATCATCAAAACCAACAAAAACAGGTCTGGCTGTGCTGGAACTTCAGAATAAGCTTCCCAAAGCTAGAGTTGTTTATGCCAGTGCCACAGGTATGTGCTACTTGGTTTGCATGAAATGCTGTCTGTATGCTTTTAGTGGCGTTGGTATAGACTGTGCTCTTCTCTTAGGTGCATCTGAGCCAAGAAATATGGCATATATGAACCGTCTTGGAATATGGGGTGAAGGAACTCCATTTAGGGAATTCAGCGACTTTATTCAGGCTGTTGAAAGAAGGTAATATTTTAAAGAGCTCTAGCAATAGAACATATGGTTGTGCTTGGCTCTGCTTTTTAGTTCCTTTGTCTTTACTCACTCATAGTCTTCTGCAAACTCATCTTGTCATACTAAAAATTTTCTGCCTCTAGCTTCTAGATCTAGCAAAAATGTCATCAGTCTTATGTGCTGAGAGCTGGGACGCTGCCCTCATTCACAGCAAATTTTTGTGACTTTAGAAGATGACTGCAAAATTAGCCCTTTTACAGTGTGGATGCTATAAAGCTAAGAATGTTTTGCTGATCGTCATGAAAACATGCTATATATGTTCAGTCATCACTTCACTCTAAGGAGAAACCTTTTTTAAATGTGTTTATGCATTTAGCTGATGCAGTTTAACAGGAAGAAGTCGTGCCCTTACACTTTCTATCACAAGAATCCAGTTCAGAGAAATTATGTATTCTGTTGTTTGTGCTGGGCACATTTGTAAGTTAGAAAGGTACTTGGTATTTCAGGACTAGTAGAGAAAAATAAACCTAGTGCAGCCATTGTGGTAATCTGTGGTTAGGTGAGCATTTTAATATGTTTTGTTTTGTGAGCTTGAAGGATTTTGAATACTTCAGAATGTCACGGTAGAGCTTAGTATGCATCTCCTTGTATACCATCCACATGATGTAAGTTTTTTCTAGACTGTGCAAGGGTAGCATCTGCTTCATTACTAAATATATATCAAAAGAGCAATAATGAAATTACAGGCCTAAGCTTGTGAGCAGGTTAGGATGGCTTTGCAGTTGGCTTCTCAAGGTATTGCTAAGGGTTCATTGCTGTAGAAGAGAACTTGGTTACCTGCTAATTTAATTATTTTTCACTAGATGTAGATCTGACTAGCTTAATACTTGTGAGGTAGAGTGGTTCTGTGTGGAATCTGCACTTCAAGATCACCCAATTCAATGTGTTTAAGAACAGTATTAATGATTTTGAAAAATATATATATTCACATCCATAAGCATGCTATTTACTTCTAAAGCATTTGATTTTTTTCTAACAAGTCCTTGTTTTTGAAAATGCTAATATTGACTTAATTTGTTCCTTTATTTTAGGGGTGTTGGTGCCATGGAAATAGTTGCTATGGATATGAAACTGCGAGGGATGTACATAGCAAGACAACTGAGTTTTTCAGGTGTAACTTTCAAAATTGATGAAGTTCTGCTTTCACAGGACTATGTTAAAATGTACAATAAATCTGTGAAGCTGGTAAGAATGCCTTTTTAGATTTACTTTCTCTCTTGAATTGTAAGAAACTGTTTATTGGTTTAAAGTGGCACTCTTGAAGTTTTGTGTAGTGCTGTGATCTCTGTGGAAGACAGAAATGGCACTTACTTACCTTAGTGTAAAGTTACCTCTGTTTAAGAGTTTCACAAGAGCTTCTTGCTTTTGTTTTGGGCCATAAATAGCCTAGTTTTGGGCATCTTCCAACGTCTGCCAGACCCACTGACTACTAGCAGCTCTTTAGAGACCCAGACTGTGGTAGCTGTTTACCTGTTGGTCTTGTTTCACCCCTCAAGTTCTTTTGATTCTGCTTTAGGGAGAACCAAGCTTAAAACTTAACTCTAAAGCTTAACCTGACACTAGAAAGACTTCTAGCACATGCTTCCTAATTAGAATAGTATGGTAGAATATGTGCTTGTTGATTCAACAGTACAGGGTGGTAATTTTACTATACAGCAGTTCAAATTGAAAACATTCAAGCTATGCCCCTATTGTTTTTTATTTTTCTTGACCTTCTACTTTTTGTATTGATATTGTTTTGCTCTTATGCTGTTATGAGAGCATATTTCCTTTGTGCAGTACCATTATTTAATTAAATATATATGTATATTCCTTTGGAAATAGACTAAAATGAGAAGGAGCTTTACCCACTTAACAGGTGCTTAAGCATGAGTCAGCATTTGTTGCATAGCTGCAGTAATGAAAAGAGATCTTTCAGGTTGGTATGACCTCAGCTTTAAAACATTTCATTTTATGAATGTTACTAAAAGAATCAGTAAACTTATGTCCAGATCTTACTTTACCAAATCTCATGCAGAAGTCTGACTTTAACGTTCTTAAAGACATTTAAAAGCTGTAGCAGTATACTCTTCTCAAGAATCTTGGAAGATGGTGTTTTACTTTTTGGTATTTGCTTATAGTTAATTATGTGCAGTTCTCTTTCATTTCTAGACCCAAGCATATTAGAAGAGAAACTGGATTATTAGAAAATACTGTGTATAATTGCATTGGTAGTATGTAATTCTATCTGCTTTTCATTATGAGTAATTATATTTTCAACTTGGTTGAAATGAGACATAGTTGCTGCTTTCTTTATCGTGAACTTCATTTGATGTGTGAGAACTTTCTTCATTTGCAGTCCCACTCTTAGCTCTTAAACTTTGCTTCTGTCTTAACTTCAGATGTTAAAGAATACATCTGTTAAACCTTGAAACACAACATGTAAAATCAACTCTTTTTTTTTTTTTTTTCAGTGGGTTAGTGCCAGAGAGAGGTTTCAACAAGCAGCTGATCTTATTGATGCAGAACAACGAATGAAGAAATCCATGTGGGGTCAGTTTTGGTCAGCTCATCAGAGGTTTTTCAAATACCTTTGCATAGCATCTAAAGTAAAGAGGGTAGTACAGCTAGCCCGCGAAGAAATCAAGAATGGAAAAGTAAGTTGGTGAAGATCTTTTAAATATTTTTTTGGAAACATAGAATTATTAGGCTTTTTTGTTCGTAACATTTTCAGTGGTATGGTAGTAGCATGCTTTTGTATTTTTTTGGCATTGAAGCTAGATGATAGCAGAAATGCAGGCAAAAAAGGAGTTTGCAAATTAGTCTCAGTGACAGTCTCTTGTTTTCTCCTTCAGTGTGTGGTTATTGGGCTACAGTCGACAGGAGAAGCAAGGACATTAGAAGCTTTGGAAGAAGGTGGTGGTGAACTGAATGACTTTGTTTCTACTGCAAAGTAAGATTTGAACTTTCGGAACTGTCTTTTCTGACATAACCTTCTGAATTGAGCATAATGCATGTAGTAGCTTGTGTTTTCGCCTGCAAAAGATAAACCAAATCTAAGAAACCTGGGTTTCTTTTGGTACCTGTGTCCTTTGCTTAATCTTCGTGTTCATAAAGGCTGGTATTACTGCTTGTGTGATCCATTGACTAGTTGCAACTTCTGCTTGTGCCATGTTATGTGTTGTACTCACGTGCAAAGCGCTTGTACTGTTTTACCAGAACTGAAGGTGCAGGAGAGACTTATATGCTGCATTTGCACCAGACACTTACCCTGACTGTGTTTATTTTAATCAATGAGCTGGTTTTGACCCCGAGAATATCTTGCTGAAGATTTAAGTGACAGATTAAGTTAAAATAATGCTAAGCCTTGAGCAATAAGAAAGTGGCAGTGACTATAGCACTGTATACTAAACCTAACATTTACAATCACTAAATAGAGTTTTAACAGTCTAAAGTAAGTGTCTCCTTCTACTATTTTTAAGAAGGTGAGAAACACTTAATATAAGTAATAATTATCCAGGGTGCTTCTGTAATGATATTCACAAGAGAAGTCAAGCAAGCTGTTAAAATATTATAAGTTTCTACTTTAAATAAATGCAAATTGTACTGAAGTTTTTTTCCCCTCCCTCAAACAGGGGAGTATTCCAGTCTCTTATTGAAAAGCACTTTCCAGCTCCTGACAGAAAGAAGCTGTTTAGCTTGTTGGGAATTGACTTGACTGCTCAAAGTAATAACAATTCACCTAGAGACAGTCCCTGCAAGGAAAACAAAGTAAAGAAACGGAAAGGTAATGCTTGTCATTTACGTTAATACCATAAAGAAAATGGTCACTTTAGAACTACCTGAAAGAGAACTGTAGAAAAATGCAGAGGTGTAAATATCAATAACAGCATTCATGAAAAAGCATGTATTGCAATTGTGAGACTTATTACAAGCTCTTGTTTGATTTTCAAATCATCTGTTGAGGTAATATCACCTGCAAAACTCCAGTTACTACATTTTAGATAAAAATTGGGCTGATGCAATATAGAACTTTATTCCAAAGTGATGATTTATAAAAGCAGTGAGGGGAAAAATAAGTATGTTGAGAGAAGTCTTATGAACTCTTAGATTAGACTTCTTTAATAAGTTGTGATAAACAGTTCTATTTTTAGAAACTGAATGCTTTTTCACTTAGTGTCAGTAAAACAACTCTCAAAAGTAGGCTAAAAGGTCTAAACTTTTTTTTCCCTTTTTCTCCTGGGGTGATGAAATTAGGTGAAGAAATAACGAGAGAAGCCAAAAAAGCTCGTAAAACAGGTGGCCTTGCAGGGAGCAGCTCTGATGAGAGTGAAAGTGAGTCGGATGCTTCAGACAATGAAGAAAGTGATAATGAGAGCTCCAAATTCTTGAGTTCTGGAGATGATGACGACTTCAACCCATTTAGAGATGAATCCAGTGAAGATGATGAAGATGGTAAGTATGTAACTGCTTCCAATTACTAGGCATAAAGTTTTCTCAAGACTTTAGTGAGCCCAAAATAGAAGACTGGATATCGTAAATTGGATAGTTGGATGTTTAATCCTAACAGGATGAGATTATTTCTAGAATGCTGATTTGCAGCTTTCTTGAGTACGTTTTATGCATTAGTCATGACTAGTCAGCTTTTGAAATGAGCATAGTTTTTAAGGAAGGATTTATTAAATGTTTGAAATGTTTTGAAAATATTTACCTTCAGATCCCTGGCTAATTAGAAAAGACCATAAGAAAAATAAAGAAAAGAAAAAGAAGAAAAGTATAGACCCAGATTCTATTCAAAGTGCCTTATTAGCTTCTGGTCTTGGATCAAAACGACCTAGCTGTTTTACTTCCACTGTTGGTACAACCACTTCTACTACCAACACATCAGGTAAGAAGAGGTTTCTTCAGATTAATTCACTTTCTTAGCATTTAGACAGTAAACTTTGAAATTTAAGCTTCTTTTAAATTTCAGCAAACAGTAATATGAACAGCAGCTTTGTAACAAGTCAGGATGCTGTTGAAAGGGCCCAACAAATGAAAAAAGAACTGCTGGATAAACTGGAAAAGTTGGCTGAAGATCTTCCACCTAATACATTGGATGAGCTTATAGATGAACTTGGCGGTCCTGAAAATGTTGCAGAGGTGGGTTGATGCTCATGTTTAGAGAAACTTGCTATTCTTGCTTCTCTACTGCATATTACCTACTAGCTGCAGTAAATCAATGTTGTCATTCCTTTTAAAGATTATGTATGACCAAATTGAATATTAAAAAGAACTTGTTTATCAACCTTGAATGATAATTTTGCAATTATGAGGATATAGGGCTCATACACTGAATCCTCTGAATTTAAAGAGAAACTTGTAGGTTACATTGAAATGGAGATAAAAGTTCTAAGTAAATGTTCAGCAGTCTCCGAGAGAGAGAGTCTCTCTCTCTCTGTTATGTAAGTAGTGATAGTTTTCAATTTTCCTTGTCTGCTACGTTATTGTTCCAACTAGTTTAGGTCAGGTTTTTAAAGCTGGTACCTGACAGATGAAACAGTGTTGTTTCATCTTCCTCGGCAGCAAAAATTAATTGTATAATAAAAATGCATTCATGAAAAGTCTAATGTGATATCTTTTCTTGATTCCAAAAACACCCCTTGCACACTACCTGTGTAAATCAAATGTCACTATTCTGAAAAGCCCGTTAAAATTGGTGTCAAACTTGCTGCCATTTTAGTTCCTTTTTAGTACTCTTAGTGGCCTTTAAATTAGTGTTCTGTTTCGTTGTTTTATGTTCCTATTTTCAGGAATAAAATAGGAAGCTGTTGCTACTAGACAGTTTCTTTTTTTAGACTTCTCAGTTCAAGACACAATTACTGCAGTACAGTGTGAAACTTTGATTACTAGCATCTCTGCTACAGACACTTCTACATAGCAGTTTCGATTAACTGAGTTACTTCTAAGCAAGTGTCCATGAAGTAGGCTATAGCATAAATCCAAAAGTAATCCAGGTAGTTTTGTACTTGGAGTAAATTACTGACTGTCTTACATTTTGAAGCTGGTGTATGAATCTGTTTCTTGACAGACTTGCTCATGTAATAACTTTGACATTGCCATAATGACCTTGTATCCCTTCCTATTTTAAAGATGACAGGCCGCAAAGGGAGAGTTGTAAGCAATGATGATGGCAGTATATCTTATGAATCAAGATCTGAACTTGATGTGCCCGTTGAAATTCTTAACATCACAGAAAAGCAGAGGTTCATGGATGGAGATAAGGTAATTCCTGGGACACAATTTAGAAAAACTTCCCAGATGACATAACATTGACTGATTGAGTTTAAATTATTCAGGTTTTGATTCCACCATTATCTCACAGCGACTTAAATACAAGAAGGAAGGGCTAGGAGAGAGGACTTGTTCACTGTTGGGTATTTTGTTGAAACCTGTACTTCTAGTAGCCCTGTCTAGCATGTGTTTGCAGCATGCTTTAAAAGGCCAGGTTGTAGCTCTTGAGGGCAAGGAACAACTAACTTTTAAGGTTTTGACCCATTTCTTCTTGAAATGAGTGTGCATGTGTACCAAACCTGACATTCTTCAAAACAATCTTTTAAACATACGCTGATTTGTTGCGAGGCAGATACACAGTAATCAAAGACATAGATGATTTATCTCTGCCACCAAGATGAAGTGACAGAAAAGAGAGAAAGGGAAAAGCTCTGCCTGCTATGAGTGGGAGAAAGGCTCAGGGAGAGGCTGAAGGGAAAGAAAGGGAGATGTTTACCTTCTCAAAGATTGAGAGAAGTAATGTGCTGAGACTGGTAGCTTTTATCCTCTGAAAGAGGATAGAGTAATGGTAGAATTGCATAAAAGGTGGTGTTTGATTTTTGCTGGTTTGTTTGTATATTATTTTTTCTTCTGGGACCTTTTTCCTAGGATTTTTTTTGCCAGTTTTGTTTGCTGCTTTTCCCAGTGGCTCATTTAAGATGTGTTACCACAAGAGGGCAATTTGAGTAAATGTAGCTGTTGCATGGAACTTCTTTAATCTGTTACTGTACTTTATGGAAATACATTTAAGTGACATGTGCAGTCCGAACACTTGTATACTTCAAAAGATATGAAGAATGGCCATATACTCTTTCATGTACAGCATTAGCAGTAACTTTCATACTGTCCCTCACTAGCATAGCAAGTCTCTACTGTCCCTCCCCTTTTTACTTCAGAGAACATCGACATCAGAGAGATTTGCCCTTTGGAATGGCAAAACTGCAGCAAAGTGCCATTTTCCAGTTCACAGAAGGGTGTTTTTGATAAATGAAGACCACTCCTTTTGCTATTTATTAGCATTTCTAAGACAGAGCGCCCCATTCTTCTCTTCCTCCAACACCTTCCTTGAGATAGTAAGACCACATGATAGTGATAGTATTCCCAATCAATATCAGTAGCAGTTGTGGATTTAATATTTTCCCTGCTGAAAACTGAAGCTTTATCTTGGATTTAGTGCTAACTAGCAATTTCTTTCTTAATAAAAGAACATAGCCATAATCTCAGAGGCTGCCAGCTCTGGTATCTCACTGCAAGCAGATCGCAGAGCTAAGAATCAGAGACGAAGAGTTCATATGACTCTGGAGTTACCGTGGAGCGCGGATAGAGCAATACAACAATTTGGTAAATACATATATTAAATATATTTTAAACATCTTCAGCAAATTCAGTGGCACTGAACTTGCTGCTGATTTATGGAAAATAAGATTGAATAACCTCTTGAGGACTTTTCCAATCTTCTTTACCCAACTTTCAATAATTTTGAAAGAAATGTAATGAACAAAACTTTACAATGTGACTTAACTGAATAAGTTCCGTGTTTGAAGCCACTGTATGAAGTTGCCACAAATACTAAGTATCTGTGTACACATTCCTGTTGTGGCATATCCAGCACAAATTATTTTCAGCAGGATTAAGTTCTAGCTACTTCTTAACTGGCAATGGTTTGGAGATGTTATGTTTCATTAGAAATGTGCAGTAAAATGAGATTTAATAAATGTGTTTCTACTTAATTGTCTAGGAAGAACTCATAGATCCAACCAAGTAACTGCTCCGGAGTATGTGTTCCTAATTTCTGAGTTGGCAGGAGAGCAAAGATTTGCATCTATAGTTGCAAAAAGACTGGAGAGTTTGGTAAGAGAGTTTCAAGAAATCTGATCCTTCATTTGAGAAAATACAGTTTTTAAAATCTTCTTTTTTTTAATTGGATTTAATTACAAAGGTGTGTCTTAACAGGGAGCCCTCACTCATGGTGACAGACGGGCTACAGAAACTCGAGACCTCAGCAGATTCAATTTTGACAACAAGGTGAGGGGTGCATTTTTTAAATGAAAGTTCATGCTATATAGTGCTTATATTTCACAAATGGTCTGTAGAAGACATGTTTGCTTCATGTGCAGTGAACTATTTTACTTTTTTTGAGTTAGTAAGAAAACAATCCTACTTTGGTTTGTCAAACCAATGAAGGCACAGTTTGTTATATAAATCTAAGTCCTAAGCATAGGATATATGTCCTTTCGATCACAATTAAAAGATGAATTTGGTGATTAGAAGTTAAAGCTACGCTGTTCACTTGCAATGTAGCTTATAACTGAAAAACTAGTAATCTCCACCATTTTACTGTTAAACAGTAGAGAGAAGTATGTTACTGTGAACTAAAAGTGCTTATTGACACGTGTGCTTGGGACTGAGGCACAAACACAGAACACACTTTTCAAGGAACTTTCTCTCTCATGCAGTATGGAAGAAATGCTTTAGAGATTGTTATGAAATCCATTGTGAACTTAGACTCCCCAATGGTCTCTCCACCTCCTGATTTTCCTGGTGACTTCTTTAAAGGTAAGTATAACTCACTGGATGCAATTGCTGCCTTTTGATCATTCTTCCGTGTGCAAAATGCAAATAACTTTGGTGGGATAAAGTCTTACTCCTTTTTTAAACTGGTTAGCTGGCTCAGGTCAGCACTCACCAGGTGTAGTTCCTGTGCACTGCAGTGGATGTTGAAATTTGGGTATGAGACAAAGTATATGAAAATCCTCAATTTAAGTCAAGTACTGCATATTTGACTATTTCAAGTGGTTTGGAGCAGTGGTAAATCTAGATGAGTCACTTTGACAGCTGTCTTCAGTGGAGGAGAATACAAGAGTTCCTTCTGTCTTTAGTCAGAGTATTACATAAAGTTCTCTAATTCTCCCTTTATCAGTTGTAAGATCATTCTCCTGTGTATTCATGTGTAGTGCCATTAGTAGCTTTTCTCACCTGTGTTGGTGTCGTCAGGCTTTTGTGCATGTTTGTTTTGTGGAAGGACAGAAGGCAAAGTTCTACTTTTCATATCAGTGTCAGGTAAAAATCACAAGTGTTTAGGGGTTGGTCAGAAGTTTTGGAATTTGTTCAGAAATCTTGTTTCAAGATTTCTGGTTTTTAGTTACTGATTTTTTTTAATGGTGAAGCAGCTGTGGTCTAATTTTTTTCTTCCTTTGCTCTTTTCTTAGATGTTCGCCAGGGATTGATTGGTGTAGGCCTAATAAATGTAGAAGACAGATCTGGAATTCTAACGCTTGATAAAGGTATTTGGGTTTTTTGTTTATTTTTCTGGGTCTTCAGAATGTTAAGGAAAATCACTTGTTCTCTTATGAAATAATGGTAGTGGTTCCTAAGCATGAGAATTGAACTTGCAACTGTGTTAAAAGAGGTGGGGGGAAAAGAACTTCTGAGAACTGGGAATGTTTTCCTTGCTTCAGAGAGAATGCACTTGAATATTGTTTTTTGAGAACTGACTGAAAGCTTGTTTTCAATGAATTTATTCTCTTTAACCTGATATACTTTTTTCTTTTCCCTCTCTTTAAGATTATAACAATATAGGAAAATTTCTGAATAGAATTCTTGGTATGGAAGTACATCAGCAGAATGCTTTATTCCAGTATTTCTCTGATACGCTAAATGCAGTTATTCAAAATGCTAAAAAGAATGGAAGATATGATATGGGCATCCTAGGTGAGTGAGTGATTTCCCTGTGCTCTTGTACTTACATAAGAGAAAAGAGCAGAATTAACTCTATCCTTTCTTTTTAAGATTTGGGCTCTGGGGATGAGAAAGTAAGGAAGGCAGATGTTAAAAAGTTTCTAACTCCAGGATATTCCACCTCTGGACATGTAGAGCTATACACCGTAAGTTATTTTGTCTTTGTACTAATAAACTTCTGGTTGCTGTTAAGTTCTTAAAACATTGCAATAAGCTGAACTTAGACCTTTTATTGAGCAAGGAGTAAGTTCTGTGCCTTTCGCTGGACAGTAGTGTTGGTGGTGTTGTTCTGTTTCTATTTCCATAACTGTTCCAAAGCATGCCCTTATGTGAACATCCCCGCTTCTCTTCTAGATCAGCGTAGAGAGAGGAATGTCTTGGGAGGAAGCAACTAAGATTTGGGCGGAACAGACAGGACCAGATGATGGCTTTTATTTATCCCTACAGGTAACATTTTTGCCTCTCAGAGTATGTTTAGCTAACTTGTTTTAGACCTCTCCAAATAAAATGTATCTTTTTGACGAAAATGTGAGGTAGAAGTCACAAGCGTTAAAAAGCTTTTTACAAAACTAAGCAATATCATTTTAGGATTGATGTTAATTTTCTTTCCAACTCTTAATATGAAAGTAAGTTCTGAACAATTAAAAATTGATGGAATTGTCAGCCTAAATGAATACCCTTTATTTAAACATGTATCAGGAAGACGGATGCCTTTATAATAAAGGAAACGTGAAATGCTGGTGGCAATTAGTGAGTGCTGTCTTCTAAAGCTGCTCTCATAGTTATTTTTAGTACATACACACCGTTAACCTACAAAGAAAACAGTATAGAATCAGTTAAGGAAGATATTGTTAGCAAACCTGAACTTAAAATTCCTTTTATTTTTTTCTTTTCCAGATAAGAAATAACAAGAAAACAGCTATTCTAGTAAAAGAAGTGAATCCTAAAAAGAAACTTTTTTTAGTGTACAGACCAAATACAGGGAAACAGCTCAAGCTAGAAACATGTGCAGACCTGAAAAAGAAATATAAGAAGGTAACCTTTGAAGTTATACTACCTTTATATTTAGAAGAAAATAGAATTAAATGTATCTACTTTAAGGATCTAGCAAGAGCAGGTCAACCTTTTGCAAGACATGCCAACAGGCTATTGAAGCAGTGACGTGCAGTGTATTCTAAGCAATGATTCTGAAGGCTTAGCTGCTTGCTGCTGTTTTCTCAAATAGCAGATTATTTTCTTTAGAGGTGGGTAATAGACCTGACGCTTCTATTAAATTTATAACAGCATTAAAATGTTTTAAGAACTTGACAACTTAAGTTGATTACTGGAAAAGTTCTTGGAATCTGATACTGTTATTGAGAGGGTTCTGCTCTCTCCCAGCGTTCTGCTCATCCTTATGTGAGACTTTGTTTCTGTTGGACAGTCTAAAATTGTGTCTTACTGTAATGACTAAATAGATGGGGGGGATGTTTTTGTACTATGCAAATCTCGACATGGTTGCTTTTGTCACGTCTCTCCTATTTCTCTTCCCTTTTTTTCCCTGTCACCTCTTATTCTTCCCCAACCCCCTAAATTTTTAGGTACCTTCTGAAGATGCTCTGCCACACTGGTTAGAACAGTATAACTCTTCTGCAGATACCTGCACCCATGCTTATTGGTTAGTATTTGTATCCATGTAAATGCTTTGAAACCTTTTGGGTAAACAATTTGTTTAATTGCTTCTGTTTTCTGTAAGTCCTGTGAAATCTTGTGTTTCTCACGTAAGGAAAATGAAGTCTCATGATAAATGACTAAGCTCCATCCTTTGAGTGGAAACACTGTTACGTGCTTGCCCTTAAAGCTCTAATATATTAAGAGTGCTGATGCTAAATTTCACTCCATTAGAAATATAATGACCTGAAAGTATCTCATGGTAGATGTCTTGTGGGGTTTTTTGTTTTGTTTTTTTTTTTTGTGGTAAGATAATTTAGCTATTACTTGAGGGAAAAATAGTTGTGCTTAAGCTTCCTGCAGAGATTAGATGTTCAGAAACAGCTACACTTACATCTGTCTTAAGGGTCTTTCAAAACTGTGCAGCTGGTTCAGTCCAACTGGTTGAAGTGTCAAATTGTTGCCAGAGTGAAATCTACTGATCAGATACCAGTCTGTTATGCAACAGACTGAGGTTTTTCAGGTGATGTGAACCAGTGGTGACTTTGGCTTAGAGCTGTCTCTTCCTTTTGAAGATATGCTCCTACATAGGCCAACACTTTCCTAAAGCTTTCACTTTAGAAGTGTTTTGTTACTGTGGATAAAGTTACCCTCATGTTCCTGCGTCCTTGGAGCACTTAGTCTGAACTCCATTGAATATGTGTGGAATAACTTTGTCTCATTGAAATGAGTATTTTGTCTTCAGCATTCTTCTTACTCTTCTTTTCTCTCCTGCTTTAGGAGAGGCAACTGTAAGAAGGCAGGCTTGGGTTTGGTTTGTGAAGTGGGACTCCGCTGTCGAACTTACTATGTCTTGTGTGGTTCAGTATTGAGCGTCTGGACAAAAGTAGAAGGCGTTCTAGCCTCTGTCAGTGGTACAAATGTGAAAATGCAAATAGTTCGTCTAAGAACAGAAGATGGGCAGAGGATTGTAGGTAAGTGGCTGGTCTGCTCCTTAATTCCAGTGCGGGGGAAGGATCTTGCAACTTGCAAATCACTCCAGTTTGAGGCTTAGGTAGAAGACTCTGCACTTACAAGAGAAAAGGAATGTGTGTATATGCTTCAGAGGGAGGGCAGGAGTACAAATGTACAGGAATATAAATACAATACAAATCCCTGTAGTGAAGGTGCTTTTCTAGAGTCAGATTAAATAAGGAAGAATCTTCAGAAGAATGCCTGTTCTCTCTGCTTGTGTTCAACTTGTCTGCAATAGACTAAGTATGATTCAAGTTCACTAGTCTAGGATGATTATTACATTCTTCCTTGCTGTTTTTCTTCTGGGGGAAAAAAAATGTATTCGTGTCATATGTAGGGTCATGGCTACTTCTACTCTAGTGACATCAAGATGTTGAAACAAGGTGTTCCAGGGTCTCTTGTTCCCTGCGTGTAAACTTTTATGTTCTTGTATCTTCTGTTAGATTAGAAAAGCAAAAAATAGCTATGATCTGGTCTTAATGTTGCATGAGGGAATGCAATAATAAATCAGTCTTTAAGGGGAAAATAACTACTACTTCCTGCCACTTCATGATATAAGATCTTCTGATTTGTGAAGTCTCTTAGAAGCAGAATTTGTAGTTTTACTTGATTCGACTTGTGGTAGAAATTGTCACTACCGACTATTGCGTAAATTAAATGATGGAGTCATCAATCTCAAGTTTTAATGAACCAGTTGTTTGCATGCTTATGAAACATGTGTGATTTGCTGTCCTCAGGTTTGATCATTCCTGCAAATTGTGTGTCGCCCCTCGTAAACCTCCTGTCCACATCAGACCAGTCTCAACAGCTTGCAGTGCAGCAGCAGCAGATATGGCAGCAGCATCACCCACAAAGTATCACCAATTTCAACAACGCATAAGAAGACATACCACAGGTGTTGACTTTGGTGTTTGAGGAAAAGGCTGTAAAAGCATATCACTTGCATAAAAATCAGGGACAGATTCCAAAGAAATATAACTTTTTCAGTTCGGTTGTGTGCTCTCAAATACTATGGGAATAAAGAGATCTAAAAAGGTTGGTAGAACTGAAAGCCAGCAGTTGTTTATGGTGGTGCATCTGTCTTTCCTTATGCTCTCTGTAGTGCTTCCTGTTTGCTTTTACTTTTGGCCTTTTAAGCTACAAACCACAATTTGTTTGAAAATGCTTGAAAATCCCCAAGCAGGCTTTATTTTTATCTTGTCATACAGTGCTCAGGGTTTAACGCAGTGCATCAATGCCATTGCTGTGGGAGATATCCTTGAATGCATGTATTGAGTATATATATAGAAAATATATATTGGGTTTTTCTCTTCGATTTATAAGTTTATAAAAGCATGAAACCTAGAGGTTGCACATCATGCATTCAGGTTCCTTCCCAGTTTCTGTTTGACAGTGCATGTCTTTGGAAACGGGCATGGACAGGATAAACACACACAACAGGAATTCAGAGAGAAACACAATCTTAGTTGTACAGCATTGGTTATTGCATTTTTATAGTGTTTATACCCAGGCGTTGCATTTTTTTCTGGTTCTCTCCTGGGGGTTATATATTTGAGTCTACAACATGTTCTTTTTGTGATAAAACATCTTCAATTAAAATTAGTTCATTTTTAATGTATTAATGGTATTTCTAATGTGTACCGCGAAGACGGCTGGATGCCTCTTTTCCTTAAATTGAAGCATTTCCTTAATCCGAGGTGGTTACGGAAACTTAAGTGCAAATTCACTTCCATCTCGCATACAATCTTATATTTTTTACTTCATTAATGTAATTTAATTTGTCACTTGTAAGATGAAACCTTACTTGAGCTGTAAATTAGAGAATGGGAAACACTTGAGGGTTCCGCTGTATGTGCTGTTTCTGTTACCCAGTAACTTGAATACTGTTTAATATGTTGTAAGACATTGTAGAGTTTATCTGGAGCTGTTTAAAAGAAATTGTAATGTACAAATGTGAATAGTCACTTATCTATAATATGGGTAAGTTTTGTTTTGCCTATAATAGTAGATGTTTATAAGAAAGTGAAGGACAATGTTTGTCATTTCTTGCTTGCACAGGTTGCACTATTGAAAAATTGAGATTGTATAAACCTGTCCAAAAAGCTACAAGATAACAATCTTGTAGATGTCAAATAAAAGTTATTGTACTAACAAGAAGTGGAGTCTTGTTTAGGCAATCACCGTATTCCAAAAGAACTAACAAGTTTGTACAATTGGAATTCAACAGGACTTGGCATGTTCCAGTCTGCTTTAACCAGGCTTCTGTCTTGCAGGCCAAATGCTTCAACTGGTTAATGAGGCAAGGGATAAACTGTGTTAAACCTTGATGCACATGTTAAGTAAGGTTCACCTGGCAGCCTTACTTGTGCAGTAATCCATTGCAGCACGTGTCACTTCTGTAAACATTCAGTGAGCCAGATTCAAGTGTCACGGAGTTTTTTTGCCATGAGTAACGGGGGCCAGAAGTTCCATGACTTCAGGCCGGAGTAAACTCCGCTGCATGGATGACTTTGCCTGTAGTTTGGTTAACGCTGCCCGTGCCAGCACCCTAGTGCAGTGGCAGAGCTCGGGGCTGGGGACAAGTGGCCGCTTTCCTCAGCACTGCAGTCTGAAACGGTCCCGGGAACGACTTCCACACGCACTCACGACTATGTGGGAATTCCAAACTAAGTTGGCCTCCTTGCTCTTGCTGTAGCAACTGCTGTGTTTGTCTGATGCCTGTGAAACGGGTTGTAGATGTCTTTGCTTTTCTCTTTCTTCCTTTGCTTTCTCGTTTCAATAATTCTGGTGGCGAAGGGGAGCTCCCCTGACTGCCGCGTGGTACCGCGTGAGCCGAGCTGCCCCGTGCAGGAGCGCAGGCCCGGAGCAGTGTGTGGGTGAGGATGCTCATGCGTTGTGCCCCCCAGCAGGGCTTATTTGGCATCCAGTCCGGGAAAAGGAAGGGAAACTGGAGAAATACCTTGACAGGTTGCTGTTGCAACAGGCTCTTGCAACAGCTAACTCTTACCTTAATGAACTTCATGTTTTTTCTTTTTCCTGCTCCCTTGGACTGTAACATTGTAAATTGAACCTTGATCTTCAGTAAATTGGTTCTAGGAGTAGTAAGACTCCAAGAGTAATGCTGTATCTAGTGGCTATTTCAATACAGTTTGATTCCAAAGTGCTCTTCTTGGCCTATTGTGCTAACTTTGCATTGAGCATATATTGAATATTCTGTGACCAAACCACACCTCTCTGTCTTGAGCCTTGTGGTACATACTGCTAATTCAAACCCTTTTACCTCCCTCTGGACTTGTTGCCCTCCCTGGGAGAAGGAGGGAATCCTCATTAGAGGGAAGATCTGTAGAAATGCTTCCTGTTCTGGTAAGGACACCCCCAGCTTGCTCCCTTTGCCTGTTGCTGCTGTCCACGTCTTGGTTTTGTCATTCATTTACTAACAAATCTACATCATGGCTCTAACATCTTAAAGGCTTTCATCAAAAAAAAAAAAAAAAAAGTTTTATTATTATTTCTTCTTGAAACGTTGACGTTACAGCCTTTGGTTCCTGGAAAGCATTAGTGCTGTGCACTTTGCATGCAAGAATTGCAACTGCAATTTTGGTAGTAGTTTATTTCTGCCTTGGCTGCTGGAATTGATAACCGATTAAAACCGGGGGGGAGACCAGAACTAAGGACTACAACTAAATGCAGGGATAGGAAACCCTGTTTGGGATCTTCTTGCACTGAGGGTGAAAGCAAGACCAACAGTCCTAACTTCTCAGGCTAGGCACCAATATTCAGCCCCTGGTTTTGTCACTTGGGGACACTCGGCTCCTTCAGACAAATTGCAATTTGGAGCAGATGCAAAATGTAAAAAGAGGTCTCATCATGGCCAAAGCTAAATGTATAGTAGTGATAACTCCTGTGCTGAGGGAGCCCTGGAAGCTTTCTGTGGAAGGGAAAGATGCTAAATATTTTCTATGTATATTATATATATATATTAATTGACTTGAGAATGGAGGGGAAAGGGCTTTTTAAAGCTGCTCAGAGTCTGAAGTTCAACCTGTTAGCTGGTTTCAATTCCATGCTTAAGATGCACCTGAGGAGCAAATGCAATTGTAGCTCACCTCAAAGCCTGCTCTTCATAGCACATTTTCATTTATTTTTTTCCTAATGCGCTCCTAGCAACACACCTCTCCTAAGGACTGATAATTCCCCGGAGATGCCCATTGTGTCCGTGTGTGCAAATACTTCCTTTGTAAATGAAGAAAGTCCTGCAACCTGTAAACACTTGTCAATTATCAACAATTTTGTATTTTTCTTTTGCATCTGGAATAAGTTTTGTTCAGATCCCATCATCATCTGTACATATATAGAAAGAATATGTATGTATATAGAGATGTTAAAGGCTACTGAATTATTGAATGTAAATAACTTGGGTTTTTTGTGTGTGTGTGTGTTTTTTCTTTTATTCTTTTTTGTTTGTTTGTTTGTTCATGACCTTCCCAAGATGTAATCCTATTTTCTCAACTTTCTAAACTGGCAGTTTGTGTGTACTTTGAAATATACATAGCAAATATAAAACTTCCGAGGGATGTCTGCATACATTGTAGATGCTATACGTTGTTGTCCTTTTATTTCAAAACCATCAGTTGCCCATCTTCCATGGTTGTTTTGATGCCCTGTGTTTTTATTCTGCATTTTTAATGTCTAATGCATTTTGCAGAGAGAAATTGATTCCTGATGCATTTCAGTGACTGGTACTATTCACTTTTTAGTGCTTGTATCAGAAATATTGAAATATAATGTTTTTCTTTAATCTTTTCAGCACATTTTAGATTTTAAGATTAACCCTAGAAAAAAATCCAATTTAGTATTATCTCCACTAATGTATTTAATAAGTTCCTCCAGCAAGACTTTGTTATGGAGAGCAAGAGTTTTACCACCGAATAGGTGCAATAGCAGGGCTATTTGAGCCCACGCAGCTCAAATATTAAGGCTCTTCAAAGGGCTCTGGGGAGGCTGCTGGTTGATGGTAGGGAAGCTGCTGCGGGAGCAGAAGGTGTCCCAGGAAAGCTGAGACCTGCCCTGCAAACCTGCAGAAGGGGAGTTTGAGTTTCCTTATGGTTGAGGAAAGGAGGCGTTTTGATGAAAACACAAATATTGAGATCAAAGTGTTGGATGGGAAATCCCTTGAATTGTCCCTCTCCCAGTTAGTGCTTAAAAATAATCCATGGGCCGGTAGCACGGACCGGCCCTTGCCCTGTGGCTGCGGCCAGGCGCCGCTCCCTGGCCTTTGTGCTCTGCGAATTCCCGGGCCGGAGCGGCAGGACAAGCGGCAGCCGTGTCCCCTGGTCCATGGAAGCAGAGCGAGGAAGGTGGGGAGGTCCCGGAGCATCGGTCGCGCTGCCGGCTGCAGCCCACGGCCTCTCCCAAAATCCCAGCATAGAGACGCTCCAAGGTGATGGTAACGGGGAAGTTTGGCAGCCACAAACAGGCACCGGTGCAGGAGGAGACACGGGAAAGCACCAGGGCTGATGCTGGATCCCTGGCCTCCTTTGCTGCTCCTTTACTGAGCAGCAAAAGGGACAACTCCGTGGGGAAAAACAGGAGCAAGGGGAAGAAAATAACAGCAGTCCTGGTGTTTCTCAGCTGCAATTGCAATGGTGAGGGCAGGTTCCTTTTCAAAGGCTCTGCTGAATGGGCAGATGAATAAAAAAATAGATTTTTTTTTTTTTGTCTAATTGGCTCTGCTGTTTCTGAAGAATCCTTTCCAAAACTAGAGGCTCCAGTAAGAATCTGGAGCAAGAACTGACCAGGTTTGAGCTCAGGCCAGATCAGGATGATCAGTTATTGATTTTCGTTGTCATGAATGGAAGCAGCAAGGCCGCCTGGTGCTGTGCGTGTGCCCAGTGCTGCCCGTTCCCTCCAGGAGAGGAACAGAACTTGGGTGCTGCAAGGAGAGGCCAGAAGGGATGGGCCTGGAGCACCTGGCCCATCTGGGAATACATGGAGATGTAGCCAAGGCTCTCTGCTTGAAAGAGAGCTGCAGTCCTGAATCCTCTGGCTTTGAGCTTCGTTGTGTAGTGACGGATTTTGACGAGTGTTTCTGAACGTGGTTGTGCTCGGGGCACGGCTTCAACGAGCCACGCGACCCGCAGAGCAGCAGTTCGCCTGCCTTGATCGGCACCGGGAGTGATAAAGAGAGGTTCCTCCTCACCTTTGATTGCATGTATATTTATGCATCTCCTTTCGGGGGAGAAGAGGATGACTTTGGTGAAACGCCAGGTTTGTTTGCAAACACACAATGGCGTTTTTATTTGCCAAGTCACCTGATTTGGCTTTTTAGTTATTCATACAACAACCCCCCTGCCCCACACCTTTAACAGTCCAACGTGACAGAAACCTCGAGATGCGAAACGCTGCGGTCGGATCGTGGCTGTTCTCCCGTGTCGCTGATCCCGACTGGAAGCGTTTGCCAGCCCTAGGGACCTGGTTCACGGCAGACACCCCCTGCAAACGCCGGCAGCACCGAGCTGTGGGCGCCCAGCAAAGCAACAGGGGCTGCAGAGCTCCAAGGGACGCCTGCTCCAGCCACCACAGCTGCGGAACACAAGGAGTCCTCTACGGAGTTCCTGTTATTCATCCCCCCCCTTTTTTTAATATAATATTAAATAAATTAAACTGGCTACTACTATGTCTTCCCCTCCCTCCCCTTTAATTTGCTATTGTGGAATTTACCCACATTTGTTGTTTGTATCTGCAGTGCCTTTCAGCGGCGTTTCTGCCCATGTGAAGCTCGTTCATTGTCCCTGCGTCTCCAGGATCCTTTAGGCTATTAGAAGTCATGTTGCAATAACGCAAGCATCTTTCTCATATTATTACTATTATTTAAATCAATTACAAAATCTGGAGCTTTAACCTCTTAGGGGATGCAGGGTATTTTGCTGGGGAATTAAACTGGCCTTATTGGTAGTTATGGGCCGATTAATGGCGTCCTTTGAATACTAACCACAGGAATCTAAAAGGAAGCACAGTTTATAAAAGTGTATAGAGATTGGAAAGTATCTTCTTTGTGAAGAGAATAGTCTGCAACAAACAGGCTAATCTAATCCTACTTTCGTGATTCACTTGGTACTGACTGTTATTCCCATTTTCCCCAAATCTGGAGAAGTGGGGATGCCAAGTTCTCAGCAATAAATTAAGACGCCCAAACCTCGGAATTTTAATTCTTCATTTTCCTATAACAGAAATCTCTTACTATACTCTGTAAACAAGAGAGAAATGCTTTAAGCGAGCAGTTATTTTAAAAGAGGCATTTGCTACTCCTCAAAGATGCCGGAGGGGTAGCTAGCGAGCTGACGGCCTCTAGCCTTGCAAATCCAGGCCTTGTTTCCAGGTTCCGTCCCCCACATCCCGTCACACACTTATAAGCTGCCAGAGGTGACGGTGTCTGCTGCGTTTACAGTGAATTTCAGGGCACGAAACAGAAAGAGCTTTACTGGGTGAGCGGAGCCTGTTTCCTCCATCAGGTCACAAACCAGGGTGCAGCTGATGGTGTTACTCCAAGGTGAGACCTGCTCCGAGGAGTTTGGAGGCAGTGGGAGCCAAGATGAAGCGATGAGGCAATGGAGAAGACCAGGGGCTGCAGCGGGATGATGCCGCCCCGCACTGCGGAGCCTCCCCAATCCCATGGTGGATTTGTGAACCTCGTGCTGGAAAAAGGCTGTGCCTGGCTGAGCTATCCGGCGGCTGCCCTCCCTGGGCTTTCTCCCTTCCTCTTTCTCTCAGCTCTGCTCCCTTGGAAGCTCCATGGTCCTTCCTCCCATTTTCAATCCTTGGGCTTCGCTTCCATCTTTCCTTGCTCCAATGACCACCAACGGGATTAGGGCTTGGCTCCCACCGGGTTTCCAGGCCGGTGTCGCAATGAGGCCCCAGGCACGGAGGAGCTGCGGTCTGGACCATCTGCCTCGAGCTGTCTGCAGACTCGGGAAGCGCTCCCGGGATGGGTGACACTGGGGAGCACTGGATCCTTCAAGTGTGATCCTTCAAGGGTGATACTAGGGAGCGCTGGATCCTTCTCCAAGCTGGTGAGGGCAGAGGGCAGCGGGTGGCAGTGCCCGGCCGGGAAGTGGCAGGCAGGACAGCGCCAGCCTCGGCAGCCCATTCCCGCGCTCCAGGCCATGGAACAGGTTCGGGAGCTTTCCCAAACAGGGCCGGGATGAAAGCGCAGCTCCAGGGCTCCTCCGAGAGCCGCCCGCTCCGGTCCTGGGCACC